CTTTGTTTCCTATCTTTTAACCAGTTACCAATCCATGAGAGGACCTTCCCTCTTATCCCATGACAGCTTACTTCGCTTAAGAGCCTTTGGTGAGGGACTTTGTCAAAGGCTTTCTGAACATTTAAGTACACTATATCCACTGGATCCCCCCTTTGTCCACATCCTTGTTGACCCCCTCAACTAATAGATTGGTGAGGCATGATTTCCCTTTACAAAAACCATGCTGACTCTTCCCCATGTTCATCTATATGTATGAAAATTCTGTTCTTTACTATAGTTTCAACCAGTTTGCCCAGTACTGAAGTCAGGCTTACTGGCCTGTAATTGTTGGTCACCTACATTGGGGCCCTTTTTTATGGATTTTGAGATACTGGCAGCTCAAAGGCATGTCTTATTTTCTTTACTGTGATTTCTACTATGCATTTCTACCAAGCATTTTCTCTACCCTGATTTCCATAGTGCTGAACAAATAGACTCTTAAAAAAAGGAAGCTGATAATGGGGTCCACACAGTGTCATCTTTAATCTATCTTCATCACAACCAACAAGGAGATCTGACCCTCAACTCAGGAACAATGATCATGCTTACTCAAAAGAAAACAGTAACACCAGAAAATATAACATAAAAGCTTAAAAAATTAATTCGATATCTGTATATCTTTCCGTTGAAAAAGGTCGCTATTATGGGAAATGATCTATAACAACTATATTAAAAACTAAGTAAGTATAGGAGGTACAATGAAATTTGAAGTTAGACAAGCACAGCATATGACTGAGGGAGACTAGAGTTTTTAACCCAAAACTTGTGTTTGACATGCACGAAAGCAAATTTAGAATTTCTGTGCTCTAGGCAGAAGACTTGTAAGAATTCTGTGTATTAACCATGAGCTAAAACTAAATTGACCATCATTGCTTTCAAAGAGTGAGATGCATACAGGCCTTCAAATGACCATCCCACCAACCAACAGCAGTACAGAACACATGATGACAGCTACTTTAGCATATTCTCTTGGTCACAACTTGTCCTGTTCTCTTGATATTGAAAGAGAGAAAAGACTTTAGAGCCTTTTTATATAAGTTTGTTAAGTCTACTACACTGATTTAAAGAAAAATCACCAAAAACATGCTGTGATAGATGGTTCTCAATCTTCAGCTGCTACTGAATTTTACAATATTTGATTTCTCTTCATTGTCAATTTAACTAGATGTGTGTGTCTACACAGACCCTTTATCCATTATAACTAACCTGCTGCTCCTACCAGGTTTGTTCAATGATACCACAATTCAGTGCTTGAAATTACAGTTGCTTCATATACTAGCAAATTTGATATCAGTGAAGGATTTAGGCAGGGGAACATGCTGACTATGCAAGACAATGTTTCTTTTGAAAAAGACAGACATCTTTGTACTCAGCAATTTTAGGAAAGAAGATCAAAATTAATCTCAAATGGATTCTAGTGAAATATATATCTTTCAAGTTTGATTCCATGGAGTTCAGAGGTGTGAGAACTTGGAATGAGTATGTAATAGTACAGATTCCTTATATAAGGAACTGAATTAGTCAGAATAAAAGTTTTGTATTTATGAATTATAAAACTATTACCCGTGAAATAATATGTGTGCACCTTCCAAAACTCATGAAAAGCCATTAAAACAATAAGAAAACATTCAGACTATTTACTAACAATTTTCAAACTTAAGGTACAAAAGGAAAATGTAACATGAAGCTGGATGCTTCAAACACACTCAAAAATAGACAGTATTCAGCTGAAACGTGTTACATAAAACTAGAGGATACTAAGAATATTTTCATTTTTTCTCAGCTTTAGCCCACTATCCTGTACACTTCCTTATGAGGAATGCATTTTGTGGTCTGATTTTTAAAAGTATTAAAACTTCAGTGACCATCAGTACAGTAAAGGGACAAGTTTAATCAGTTTTGAAAATATAGTTTCCAAAATATTAATATATTGCTTTAAATATATATTTGGGTAAGAAATAGTGCACTGTCTCTGATTTGTGATGCTTTTGGTCCCACCTAAGCCATCCACTTAAGCCCATAAATACAGAAGAAAGCTATGTAATAAATCATAATGATATTTGTTATGAAGTGTTTTATTGTGGTAAAACACTTGTCAAAACACCAAATTAAGCTTTTCATAAAGATTGTAGATATTGTTGACAATAATATATACAGTTTTCTCTTTAATCAAACTGACAGCTTAAAAAAAGCATATTTAAGCCACCTGAGATGTCACAAAGAAGGTAGATGTAGACTTTGCTAATTTTTCTTGGAAACCTATTTAATGGAAACTAAATGCCAAGCTTACTACTATGGCTAAATATATCTGAAAAGAAGGTGACAGGTTGCTTAATATAGAGATCATGGCTTGTACTCCCACTTCTGACATTGCATACCCTTATATGAGGTTCAGAGTTTGTTAGAGATCAGAGGACTTAATGCCTCACTTTGGCATTCTAATACATGTAATGAGCAGTGTTGAAAGGCTCTAGAGTGAGTTGCATTTTCCCTTCTTCTAACGGAAGGAAAGTTGACAATAAATGGGGCCTTTGAGGGAAGACAGGAGAAGGGGGGACGTTCGTGGGAGGCTGGGAAATGGTAGATCCAAGGCATCACTGAGGTTATAAAAGGAGCTTAGGTGGCCCCACAGAAAATTATGGTACAGTAGTTAAAGAATCTTTTCTTTGATTTCCTTGTGTAGCAGCCATTTAATATGGCTAGCACATTACTTATTTAATATGAATAGCACATTACTTATTTTCCCCTAAAATAATAGTAGCAACAACAACAATAATAATACTATCTAGTTTATATAGAGCTTTTCATCAGTAGGTCTCAAAGAACTTTACAAAGGAGTTCAGCATCATTACTGGTGGAGAAATAAAAATGCATAGGCTTGGAAGAATTAAATGTTTATCAGTAAATGATGATAAATGTTGATTTCACTATATACACATAAACCAACGAAAACATATTTCCATCAGTAATAACTGAAATTTACAGATAGGCAAAGCAAGAAAAATTGCTGCTTCAGAATTAATTAGAGTTTGATTTAAGGCTATTTACTTTGTACATTTTGACATGTGATGTTGACAATTTTTTGGTTTAATGGTTCTAAAAATAACTTTTTGAATATCAGTGTGTACTGTTATTAAATAATTAGTGTCTGACCCCCTCTCCCATTGTCTGACCACCCATAATTTCCAGGAACTGAGAAAAGTGCAATTAACAACAAAAAAGATGCTTAACACCCATAATTTTTTACAACAGTGAAAATTTAAAATCGATAAATATAGAAAAAATGCTTAAAACTAAATACTGATATCTGTCAAAATTATAAAAAATAAGTGTTCTGCTAAGTCTAAAAATGAGACAGTTTGTCTCTTTACATGAATTGAGAAACAGAACAACGTCCCTATTCTCAGAAGCTTTCACTTGCTTTCTGTCCTTTTCATAATCCAGTGCAAAATTTCCTTCAATGCTTCAAGTTCTTCAAGCTCTAATCTATTTAAATAGGTGTTTGTAAAATGGTTTCAAGTGTCATGGTTGTGGTACCCAGGTACACCGGGTACAAGCTTGTTAAACACATTTTTTTAAAGCATTCACAATCCGGTTGGAATATGTGTACTTGTTTAATTTTGTCAATCTAAAAGGAATCAGGGAGTCAGCTGTGAACCCACTCAAAGAGATTAGCTGAAAGTTTTATCTCTGTGTATAAAATATGCATTGGAGTTCATGATTTTATGGTTCAATGAGCACCCCATTTATTATTATTCTTTTGCAGTGTAGACAGGGCCTTAATGAAAACCACAATATAAACACACAGACAAAACTCATAGTTCCTTTTCAGAACAGCCTGCCCAACTGGAAGCGAAATCCTGGCTCTAGTGAAATCAAAAGGAGTTTTGCCGTTGACTTCAATGGTGCTAGGATTTCACAGTTGTGTCTAAGTAACTACTAGTTTTTCAAATGGTATCTGCGGACTCATCACCTCTACCTAACTTAAGACTCCTATAGTCCTATATTATTTTATGAAACCATCTCTGACTCCCAGTTTCATAGTACACGACTGTACTTCTCATATCTCAAAACTTAGTCACTGTACATCTCATACCTGTCCTGCCAGATGAAAAATGTTACCGGGATTATTTGATGTAATCTACAGTACATAGTTCACTATTATTTGCAAGTACAGTACAGATTAATTTACTCTGATATTTTGGTATAAGTGAGGCTATAGAAAACTAACTTTGGACTTTATAAACCATTGGGACCATTATTTTGTCCAATCATTATCAAACTTTTTTTCACAGTATGGATCACATCTTAGTAGAGATACCCTAAGCAAACTATTTATCCTTCAGGCTAGGAAAGAAGAAAGAAAGAAAATGATAGATTGTTATTTCTATTTTTAAATACTTGGAAACCACACAGACACTATATTGATGAGCATCATATTCAGTAGACACATTTAAAATGTTCATTCAAGTTCTAGACATATTACTGGTTCTAGTGGTACCTCCCATTTTAAGCACTGGGAATATTGCTGGAATTGGTAATATAATTAAAACAGAATGAACTTCTGAAATGCATTCATTGTAGATAAATTAAATATATAAAGATGCACGTGGTAATGTAAAATCCTCAATTTATTTCAGTATTTTAGCAGGAAGTTTGTTTCACGTGTCATGATGGATGTACTAAATTTGCTTTTCAACCATCCATGCTAAATAACCTTGTGCAACTGCTTTTATTGCATCGGGTACAGGAATATTAAATAAAGATTGGCTTTGTTGGTTTCCTAATTCTGTATAATGCATTTTTCATTCAACCTTTCCATGTTAAAAAATAAAAATAAAAAAATAAACCTAACTGAATTTCACTTTCATGCACAATAAGAAGCAATAATATGGGTTTATTGGAAACCAACAGAATCTTGCTATACTGTATTCTCATTTTGAACAGAGAGTGGATCTTACCTCAGACCAAAGATGTGTGATTGTTCATAATTGAATAAAGAGTGAATTTTAGCTTCTGAATTCAAAATTATAAGTCTGTCAATGACATCCTGAAAAAAGAAGGCATTATTGTAAAATTATCATGCATCTTCTTATATTTCTTACACTTAAGGTTGATTTATGTGTAAAAATACAGCATTATTTTTTCTAAATGTTACAATTTTTTTTAAGTATTCGTGCTTAATGTTCTTATTTCCATTAAAGTCAATGGTGCGGAATCAAGGCATATATCTATCTATCAATAGATAGATAGATAAAAAAACAAACACATAACTCAGTTAAATACATATCAAGGCACTGAAATATTAAGCATTTTAAATTACTATTGAATGTTAATATTGGAGTAAAATGGTAAAATGTATGTTTAGTGTTTTTGAAATGTGTAGTTCTTTCCATTTCAAGCTAATTTAATCAAAATTTCAGGTATTAAATAATTCTGTGCATAGAAATACAAGTACCAACTCAGACTAGACCAGGGGTCGGCAACGTTTGGCATGCGGCTCGCCAGGGTAAGCACCCTAGCGGGCCGGGCCAGTTTATTTACCCGCTGACGCGTCAGGTTCGGCCGATCACAGCCCCCCACTGGCCGCAGTTTGCCATCCCGGGCCAATGGGGGCAGCGGGAAGCGGCGCGGGATGTGCTGGCCGCAGC